AAGCTCCTGTGCTACCAGTGTAAAAACCAACATTGTCCTGAGCACACAGTCCAAGGCGTCCAGGGCTATACAGCTAAGCTAACTAGGCAACAGCAGCTGCATATAGCAACAGTTACTTTACTGTCCATGAGAAAGCTGTAAATCACTTATCAACATTTTCACCATACAATATGATCCATGTTCACAAAAAGCACTTACATAGTTTGTGCATGCTGACTACTGTAAAGCTAGAATTGGTCGATGGGATGCAGAGTCGGAATGACAGAGGCACCATTCACCCCATTACAACTCAGTGTAGCATCAAAATCATTTTGAAGCTATTTTAAGGTTGAAGAGTTTTTACTATAGAATTAACACTTGCACTTGCTGTTACCAAATTAACCAGGACTTAAATAAAGCTAGACCTTCAGGATAAAATGACAAAATTTGTGCACTCCAATCAATTCTTTGTGCGGTCAAATAAATAGCATAGTTGACATTTCAAAGGATATGTATACGAAATTCATTGCCACGAGATGCCGAGCTAGAGCACCAACAATCGGTGCTATGGCCCACCAGACTCCAAAAACAGACTCCAGCCATTTTACCTAGCAGATAATTGTAAATTACAACTGAACTAATGGCAGCTATGCTTAGCGGTTAGCTGCTTTTCACAAAAGAGTGAAGCTGTCTGTCCAGTAAATGTCGTTAACCACAGAGAGTTGAGGCAGAGCAGCGGGCGGACATCGGAGGGAAAACCAACAATATATATAAGTTCACAGCCAAAAAAACACTTTCTGTGAGACAAACTGTACAAACTAATAACCTGAAGAGTTGTCCTGAGCAGAGCAGTCGAATAACTGACCAAACAGGTGCATGAGTGTGTGCTTACTGTGCCTGGAGCAGATGACCATATAAAGAAATGAAAGTTAAAAAAAAAGGATGCATTCAGAGCAGTCTGAATTCTGAGCTTTTTTCTCACAGGGGTTACTTTTATACACATCCCCTTTAAACCTTTACATGGTCGTTGCTGTTTGTTGATGTGTTGACTTTAATAGAATTCTAAAAAAGTAGCTGGCAGCTTGTAATGCAGAACTTGAATTATATTATGAACTAACTTCATGTAACGAACCAGCATAACGTTAATGTATCTGTGACGTTTCCACCATACTTCTTAACCCAAGTCTACATCCCTATGTGTATGTACATCCATGTTCCGCAAACAGTAATTAAACATAAAAAGACATGTTGAAAAATGTCTGTGTTGGTCACCCGCAGGCCAGCCACGAGGGCAACTGTGACTTCATGATCATCCTGTGTCCTTCCTGCAAAGAGCTGATGAGAGCCAACGAACAGGAGCGCCACAACGAGAGAGAGTGTCCAGAGAGGACTCTCAACTGCAAATACTGCAAAGAACCCTTCTTGTTAAAGAACATCAAGGTCAGGCCGCTCTGTGTTATTACAGTCAAACACTGTTCAAGTATTGAGCCTGTATACGACTTTATTTAGGGAGTTGTTTCAGGGATACATTGTATTGTAATATTGTACAGATACAAATGTTATGGTCAATGTCTGTGATTAATTATTCTAAACTTGAGGTTCACTTATTATCTCTCCCGTAGTGTTGACCCAAGTTCTGTACTTGCATCACATTATTACAACTGCGACTGTTGCAGTTTCTAAGGATGGCGGTGAGATATCCTTAGAAACTGCAACAGTCGCAGTAATAAGAGTTGTCCACTGACTCCTGAAGAATAACAAGGGAAGTTCCTGTGTTTCGGGTTTGTTTTCGTTACCTTAGAATGAGCCAATCTTATCTACAGGGGGAGCAGGTCGCTTTCCAATGTCCACCATGTTGAACTGCCATGTTCTACAGTAGTCCAGAATGGACAAACTAAACACTGGCTCTAGATTGGACCTTTCTCATTTTTTCAAGCGTTTCATGGCCACCAATTTTACTTACACACTTCACATTCCTAGGTCGACAAATACAGATGTCAGCAGTGTTCAGTAGTGTTCAGTAAGTTGCTATCTGAACCTTGACCGCTAGATGCCACTAAATCTTACACACTGGTCCTGTAGGTACTGACTGCCTGCGACTTGAAAACTCTGGTTAGGGATTTTCATTATCCTCAAATGTCTTGTTTGGTCCACAAGATATTCAGTTTACTGTCATAGAGGACTTAAGAAAGCAGAAAATATTCACATTTATAAGAAGCAGAGAATTTTTTCTTTAAAAATGACATAACAATTAATTGATAGATAGGTGATTTAGATGCACCCTGGTAGCTCACCTGGTAGAGCTGGCGCCCCATTTACCAAGGCTGATTCCTTGCTGCAGTGGCCATGGATTCGAGTCCAACCTGTGGCGCTTTGCTGCATTTCTTCAGTAATCCAGTTATAGTTAGCTATACTGTTATACTTACATTGCAAACAGGAACTGCTAATGGCTAATTTAACATACAAAATGTGGACAAATATATATATATATATAGACTAAAAACAATAACTCACAGCATCCACTGTAACATCTGTTTAAATCCCCCAAAATCCCCATATTAAGTGAAGGAGCCCAAGTAATCCCCAGTGCCATAGGATGAGATATTTCTTTTATTGTGAACTAACTTTACTTACTTTTGTTTAGGCTCATGATGAAATCTGTCCAAAATACCCCATGATATGTGAAGGTTGTGCAAAGAAAAAGATCCCCAGAGAAAAGGTATCCCAGATATTTATTGTCCAGTGATTTTTCATAATTCTGTAAGACTGACCTCATTTACCATTTAGGTAGGGATCAAATTCTGCAAGATATTCTCTAGATCATTAGCTTCTTTCATTTATTTTTTTGTTTTGCAGTATGTGGACCATATTAAGTTCTGCAGTAAATTTAAAGCACCATGCAGATTTCATGTTGTTGGCTGCGATACGTCTGTAAGTAGACATTTTTGTCATAATTTGCTATATCTGTAGCAATGGCTAATGTAATAACTACTGGCTCATGTAATAACTTGGCAAAATTTAACAAAATGTCTCACTTAGTAGTTTATAAAGTGACTAAACTAAAATTCAAACTGATGATTTAACTTTAAAAAGCACAAATAACATGATTTTCCCCCACTACTGTGTTATCTAATACATTATGAGAAAAAAAACTTTATTCTGTTGATAGATCTACAGTCTTTATTATATTAAGAACATTAGTTGCCTTGGTATTACATTATTCAACAGTTATTACAGAATCTGGCCACATGCCTATAAATAAATCCTGTGTTGTTGAGTATGAATCATGTGTGTTTGTGTGTGTAAATGTGCAATGCCTATATGAAGTATTCTCCTAACTTTTTTCATGTGTTACTATTTTATAATAACATGAAATGTAACGATCAACTGACACTGATCAACAGAGTGAAAGCAATTTAGTTCAATTTATGGAGACTTATAAAGCATACATTTGAATGCAGTGTTAAGTAGAAGCACCTTTTGTTGCAGTAATGGTCTTGAAAGAGTAAAAAATTGATGCAGCAGACCTGGCCAAATCTGGCACCTTCATTACCCACAATGCATCTCAACCACCGACAGTTAGGGCAGAGATTCAGGCAGAAAAGGCGCAAGAAAAGTAAAGATTTCCAACAGCGAGGAGAAAATTTAAACTATACTTAAAACCATGTTTCGGTTCAGAATCGTAGAAGATAAGAATTGCGATTCTTATGTGAATCTGTTTTTTCCTGGGTGTTACAGTAGCAGGGGCTAATTTAGCCTGGAGCCTCTACCCTGCAGCAGAGATGAGGAGCCAGCTACAGAGGTCTGGTAACCTCTTCCACACCAACATTTTTTGTGTTCTCCAATTAACACCAACTCACGTGACATCACTTGAGGAACATTTATCAGACTTAACACAGCTCACTTTGGCTATACTAAAGGCTTTATACATCGTTTTTGCCTTAGTAGTCCTTACCAGCACACTTTGTGTACAATCAGTGTAGTTCCTCTCTAAAATCTATGTGGACAGACCTGTATCAACTTCCAGCTTTATACTTCAGCTGGTCTTCTATTCTCCTTTACGAAACTGCTCAAATTTGGTTGAATTGAGATTAAATTATGTAATTTAGAAAACTTCATTGGCTGAAGAAGACTATGATATGTGGTTAAAATCGCTTAAAAAAGCTTGTAAGCAGACCTTAAGTTAAGTTTTCTTTTCGTCTTTTTTTTTTTCCATCAAACTGTTTCCGAGATCAAGATTGATCTTTCATGCTCTGTCAAATTGAATGGAGACCACGTGGGAACAATGAATTAGTTCAGTTTAGTTCCCATGTAGCTTTGTCTCTATGTTTGGCGTTGGTGTAATGCTGAAATTGCAGCAGGTTGTCCTCTGGGATTATTTGACCTTTCTTCCAGGACCTTCTGCAGCGAAACATCCCCACAGCAGGATGCTGCCAGCACCATGCTTCACGCTGGGGATGTGTATGATGATTTGATGATGCCACGTTTAGCTCATGGCAGAGACAGTTGCTCAACGAAAACTATGACGAAATATACATGCTGAAGATAATGTGTTTCACAAAATGTATAAATGATGATGAATGTTGCTGTGCTGAATGGACAAATGAAGTGATTACTGTTTTAATGTGGTATTCAACAGCCTGCATGTACTTGTGGAATCGCACACTGAAGCTCCTGATTAGTAAAACAATAACCTCGGCTGCCCAAAGCTTTTTCTTCCTCAGCAGTTGATTTAGCTTTTGCACGATAAACGCCACCTTGCATTATGTAACCAGTTCTTGGAGGGAGAAAACTATTGATTTAAAGACACAAATTAATCGCTGTCTTTTATGTTCCTATCGAATTTCCCCGTTGTGGGATCAATAAAGTAATAAAAAATAAATAAAAAAAACAAGCAAAGAAAATATTACTGCGTTATTGTTGTCTGACCACTCAAGCTAATTCCAACACTTTTTAGTACACAAGTGAGTGAATATAACTGAAAACCACTGGAAATTAATGTTTTAAAGCTCCCATTATGTAATATTTCAAAGGATCTATTGTCGTAATGGAATATATTAATTTTAGTATGTTTTCATTAGTGTATAATTACCTGAAAATAAGAATTGTTGTGTTTTCGTTACCTCACAATGAGCCGTTTTTAGCCATAGCTTTATAGGCTGGGTATGTGCACACATACAAGGAATCTGACTCCGGTTTTACGTTGCTCTCAGTTAATACACACAAAATAGCATAAATACACAAGCCACACTTGTGGCCGCCGTAGTTTCTCCTTTGCGTTTGGAAAGGGAGTGTGAAGCAAGTGAGTTGCAATCTGCGAGTACACTGATAGATGACACTAAATCCTACACTCTCATTCAATGCACTCATTTTCATCAGTCATTTCTAAGACTACAAACTAACAAAAATTTGTCTGAAATGAACCTAAAACAACAAAAATCTAATTTGAGTAATACACATTTCATTTTCTTTAAAAGACTAAAACTAAATCAAAAGCTGGTGTACATTTTCTTGCATCCTTCTCCTTTTGATTATTGTTATTTTCAATTAGTTTTGGAATGAATTTTGTCATCCTGTAGTTTTTGGCAGGAAGCAGACTGATCACCTATTGGACTGTAGAGATCCTAACCTGGGATCAATTACACACCTTCATTACACGGAGCATCATTCAACTTCCAAAAATATGTCATAGTAAACTGTGAATGGTAAATGGATGGCATTTATATGTCTTTCTAGTCTTCTACCCACTCAAAGCCCTTTACACTACATGTCTTATTCACCATTCATACAATGAGGCTGCTATGCAATGTGCCAACTGCACCAGAAAATAACTAATGCACATTTACACACACACACACACCGATGACCCAGCCTTCAGCAGCCATTTAGGGTTCAGTATCTTGCCCAAGGACACTTCGACATTGGGTATTGAACTGCCGTTCTTCCGTTTAGATCCGCTCTACCTCCCAAGCCAAAGCCTCCCTTGCGTATGTTTTATATTTTTACTCAATTTGTGAGATCACTTTCACTTCAAATCATTTTTTACTGTTGTTCAGTGTCATTGTGGTTAAACAAAACATGAAAATCTGTGGGGATGAATACTTTGTACAGTGTATACATCCATTATTAGTTCCATTATTTCTTTGCTGTACATTCTTACTGTTTTCTTCTTTTGTGGCACAATTTCTCATACATCATTAAAATGGCATTTCTGTTATAGTATGTCTGTTGTAGTATGTAATGGACAATAGTCCTTTGTTTATGTCCCTAATGTGTTTCTGCTGGTATCTTTCTTTGTCACCAAGGTGGAGAAAGAAAAGATCCATGAACATGAGCGGCAGTGTTCGTATGAGCACCTCAACCTGCTCCTGCATTTCATCATGGGCATCAAGGTGAGCTTGGAGAGCCTGCAGCCCCAGAGCCTGGAAGTAGCCAGCCACAAGCTGCAGGAGCTCCACCAGTCCCTCAGGGATTTGGAGCTGAAGATGAGCCAGGTGGGTGGGGGTGGTGCTGCTCCCATGCAGGGTGCGTGTGCCCCAACCCTCGCCACCTCCTTCACCCCACTGCCCAGTGCCATGGGTGCTGCCCTGGAGCTGCAGCTCCAGAGCGAAAAGACCAAGGTGGCCGAGCTGAACCGGCGCTGCCAGGAGCTGGAGCTCAAAGTGAGCACGTTCGAGAACATTGTCTGCGTCCTAAACAGAGAGATGGAGCACTCCTGCACCACCATGGAGGCCTACAACCGCCAGCACCGACTGGACCAGGACAAGATTGAGATCCTCAACAACAAGGTGACAAAATAAATAAATAATGACCTGTGCAGTCAAGCTGCCATGTCCATTAGGTCAATTTTGAAATCTTAATGATCCAAAAGGAGAATTATTGTAAAGGCACCAGGAATTAAAAGACAATTAGAATCATTAGAATCATTGCTTAAAAGCTTGACTAGGTGTTTGCTCATCACATTTGTCACATTACACTACAGCAGTCTGTTTATCGAGGGAGCATCGATTTTAGTCTCACTGAAGACTCAACGTTCGTAACGTAGCTTGTTAAGTAAACTGTTCTTCATGTGTTGCTTGGCTTCAGGTTCGTCAGCTGGAGAGAACAGTGAGTCTGAGGGACCTGTCCATCGTGGAGATGGATGGCAAGATGAGGGAGATGTCTGCAGCCACATACGACGGCATTTTTGTCTGGAAGATCTCAGATTTCACCAAGAAGAGGCAGGACGCTGTGGCTGGGCGCGCCCCTGCTATGTTCTCTCCTGGTAACAACTTCCTATGATGACATCTGAGTTATAATCCAGACAATTATGAGGCACTTCTTGCAATAAATTAATAATACACTTTATTGGTGTATTATGTTTTCCAGCCTTTTATACCAGTAAATACGGCTACAAGATGTGCCTGCGGATCTACCTGAATGGTGACGGGACAGGACGTGGCACACACTTGTCTCTGTTCTTTGTGGTGATGAGAGGACACAGCGACGCACTCCTCAAGTGGCCTTTTAATCAGAAGGTAACATTCATTATAATCAGGGTTGTATATACTGTATAGTCTGTATATGCTTATTTTGCTTTCTTTTTGAGAGGGAGATAGGAGGATTGATACAATCTCATATGGGTGTTAAAGGCATGTTGGGTAGGATTTTCGTAAAAGAAAAAAAATGCATAGACCCATACAAACATAATCGATCTCAATCATCACTAGAAGCGTATGGCGGTGTTTATATCTGCAGAGGGCTGCAGGGTGTCTGTATTTTCTTAATTTGCTGTGTGCGGGACATTTCTGGGCGTCAACCTTTGGGCAGGGTCTGAGGTCGGGACTCTATAAAAATGTAGCGAGCAGATCTATAGCTCTGGCACAGTTCACAGGTTAAAACATAATCGCCAGTAAACAATCAGAATATAACGTTGTTTTTTTTTCTCCGATTCACTGCTTTGTTCTTGGTAATGGTGCTCCCTCACCCCTATTCACTGTCTACCTTGTTCTACCAACGCTGCCCTCAGTTGAGTCGGGGGGAGGCAACAACTTTGAGTGAAATATCGCATAATATGCCTTTAAAGTGACACAGTGGAAATAAAATATACTTTTTCAAGTTTTCCCTGTGCTAATTGTTGATTTCCTATTATATGCCAAACAATAAATGTATCTCAATCAAATGTGATTTGGGCATCAGCTATCCCCAGCCATCACATTAACCTGACCTTGACTACTGGCTTACGACTCGTAGTAGCTTGCAGAGTTGTGTCATGGGTCATAGGTTTACATCTCAAAAGAATGTTGTGGAAGTCTAAATTAGCAGTTTTTCCATTATTGCGCTGTATTTGCTAACCCACGGCCACTTTTGACCGACTGGATTGGATTTCATAACCAAACCACCCAAACACCCACAAGTTGAAGATGCTTTATCTTGTTTGTGTAATCTGTACAAGCATAGCAATTTTATCGTTAATTAGCTTAACACTTTGCTAACGTTAGCTAATTTTTAACTTTTAACCCATCTTTAAAATGTCGTTGTTTTTTATAGCATATCTAAGTACAGGAAAGGACAAGGTTGACTCAGGCTTGCTCAACTGTTATTGTAGCACAGAGCAAAAAGGGGTGGGAGGTTAAATTGGGCTTTAACTAGTAGCTAGCATAACATCCATTACTTGAGTCCCTTAATATAATTAAAGCTACATTAATCTTTTTTGCCCACTTGGGGCTGAACTCCACAACAAGCTTCTATGGCAACCTGATAAATTTAGCACACACACAGTTTAAAACAATTTTGGTTTAAGTTACGTGCTGAAACTCTTAGATTAGCTTATGTTCATGAAAGGTTTAGGGTTTTCCCCGCTAACAGTCTTCATGCTAAGTAAGCTAGCCATATCCTGATTCTAGCTTCAAATCGACACATAATGAAATGAGATTGTATTCTTCTCATCTAACTCCAAAAGAAAGCAATTAATGACACAGTATTTAATGGACACTAAATAATGTGTTTATAATGCAACAAGTTGTTAGTTTTGTATTGTTATTGTTACTTTTAAATTTAGTTTTAGATTGAGTGGGTAGTGGGTTGCACTTCTACCTTTTCTATGATCCTTTATGAATTCTCTCTTAATCTCTTAATATTATAACTAGCACCTTAAAGTGTCATCAGGACTGAAAATGTATTAGTGGGTCAGCTCTAGTTTTTTCATCAGAGCAGATGTAAGGCTAGACTCCTCACATCTGTGCCCAGGTCACCCTAATGCTGCTCGACCAGAACAACAGGGAGCACATAATCGATGCCTTCCGGCCCGACATCTCCTCCTCATCCTTTCAGAGGCCCGTCAGCGATATGAACATTGCCAGCGGCTGCCCACTCTTCTGTCCGCTCTCCAAGCTGGACTCTAAAAACTCCTACATACGTGACGACACCATCTTCATCAAGGCCATTGTAGACCTCACTGGGCTTTAGGCAAAGAATGAGGGTGTAACCCAGCCTTTTGTTGCTACTATCACCAGGCTTTTGTATCACCAGTAACTGGCATTTCTCTTTCGGGTCTCTCTAGCTCTTTTGGTTTTGATAAGGATTGTTGGAAGCAATATGCAAGACCAAAGCCATGGCCACAGTGGCTGGTGGCGTATTAAGACTTCCTAAGCCACTATAACTGTTTTACCAATCAAACTTTGTCAAATCACACAAAAGTTTTTATTTGACAAAAACATTGATTACCTACCAAAGTTACTGGGGCAGTGAACACAGCATATATGCCAGAATTTGGCTGGGGACAGGTGTTAATATCCCACCCTGCAGAAGACCCTCAAACAGCATTTGAACTGCATTCCATGACCTAGATATAATATTATGCTTGTGAAATTAGTAGACAACTAATATGACATTGTCACAATCTCTAGTGATCAGCCTATGGCTTCTTGTACCATAGATGAGGCTCATCATGTTCAGTTTTGCACAGACATGATTTTTAAAGGTTAGAGGTTTTACAAGAATTTCATTTCCATTCCCATTCAAACATTTTTGTTTCTTACTGCAGTATGAATAAGGTCCTCTTGTGACAAAAATCAGTTATTGCTGCTAGCTGCTAGTTATGTCCCAAAATCATTCACATATAAAATTATATAAAACATGGACGTCACGTCTCCACTCCCTCCCACTGTACAAAAACAAGCTTAAATATCCAGATATGGTCGCTGCCATCTTTCGATGGTGACATCATTTGGAGCCATAGCGATTGGTAGATGATGGGAAATTTGATGCTAAGTTTTTTTTTAGCATCAAATAAAACTTGAACATAGATCAGCATGATAAGAACTACCTAAAAAGACAGATTTATTTTAAATTGAATTTAAATTTGATGTGTACTTTGATTTTTTTATCTGCTAACATGGAGGCAGCAGGCTTTATGACCTATACTGCAGTCATTCATCAGGGGGTGATTGAGATGTTTCGGTTTCACTATTGGGAGCTTGTCATGTCGTCCATTTTTATATGTCAGTGCCCCAAAAATGTGAGCCTTACTCAGCTGGCACTCGGTGCTCCAATAACAGTTGAGCAAGTCTTGGTCAGAACCTCAGTCAACGTTCTCCTTTCTTGTACTTTTCAAGTTAAAAAGACAACCAAGTTAGCCAACGTTTTTTCTACCGAACATAATGCTAGTTAACAAGCTAGCTAACCTACATCAATCTTTAGCTATGTAGTTACATCTGAAAGCTAATGTTAGCAAAATGCTAGCTAACTAGCTATCCGGTTTACATAAACTGTTAGTTAGCTAACATTTAGTGAACTTAAGATGTGACTATATGACACTTTTATCTTTCAATTATCTTTTGAAACTTGGTTGTCTTTTCAACATAGATTAGCCTAACAAATAGCATATCTAAGTACAGGAAAGGAGAAAGTCAACCGAGGGGCTGACCGAGGCTTGCTCAACTGTTATTAGAGCACAGAGCAAAAAGGGTGGGACTTAGGAAGGGTTAGTTTACTTTAGCCAGCAAAACTAGCATAAACCTGAGAGCTTCTCAGATGAATAATAAAAAAAAAATTACTACCAAAGCACTGGAACCCAAAAAAATGGTATTTGATTAAACAGCCATAGCTGCAGGTAGTGTACAGGGGGTTTATCAGAGCAAAAAATGAACTAAACAAAGGCCACGCAGAACTGGGTTAGAATTCTCTTCAGGTATGTCATTATGAGTGACCTCTTTCATATTGCTTATAGTTATCTGGCACATTATTAATGTAAAAATATTGATAGTGCAACTTTAAAATAAACAATCTGGAAAACTACAGAATGCTTGTGATGCAAACACTATTTTTTTTTTCACCTATTTTTTTGTATTTTTGTATTTTTGAGGTTTAAAAATTTAAACACCAATACATTTCCAGAATGATTTAAAATCAAAAACTGATAATAATGAGCCTTAGACCAGTGACACCGTAGCTATGTAGATTAAACAGCCTACAAACACGGCGATAGATCAAGCAGGTATAGGTACTTTTGCTCACTGTTTGCGTGTACTGCTTGACATTTCTAAAAATTTTTGCAAATGTGGAGTTTCAATAACAGTGTGATGCCCATGTAGCCTTCAGAGTATCGCTCAGCTTTGCACACAGTTTGTAGTGCAGTTGGACTTTTAAACTTGTTTACTGTTTCCTAACATCTATGCCTCCAACTCTCAAGTTCTGTGTTCAATGGTAATCATTTGTGGTGGTGGACATTGCTTGAATTCCATGAATTCTGAGTGAAGTATCTCAGTTGTGATTGTTGTGCATGCGTGTGTGTGTGTGTGTGTGTGTGTGTGTGTGTGTCTGTACTGTTCATTTCTTTGCTGATAGTCGCAGTGTTAGTTTGCATGTTGGATCTGTGGAAGATACACTGTAGCTTGCAGCAGTTCCTGGGCTGTTTGTCTAGGAGACCGATGGTAGTCAAGCTGATTCTCCCAAATGGAAATATGACATATTTTATTAAAAATAAAACATATATTTGCATACATGTTCTGATACATCCAATAAATATCTTGATATGAAACTTTTTTCAATATTTGTTGTCTGCATATTTACAATTTCTTTAACCATTTTACCGAGGATATATTCAGTTTTATTTGAACAATTTATAATATTTACTAACATGCATATGGACAAATATTGAAATAGTACATATTTACCTACATGAGAGGTATATCAAAAATATGTCCACTGCAGTGTCTTCACAAAGTATTCATTTCTATTTTTTCTACATTTTGTGGTGTTGGTGGTCTGATGACCAAATTGCAAACATTTGTGTGTGTGGATGGGTTCCTTGATAATTTGGTTCAAGACCTCTTAGATGCTTTTGTCGTAAAATAATATTGTAACTACCAGTAACTGTACAATTTAGAGCGAGAGAGAGTACAGAGGTTAGGGTCTTATAAGTTATGTGCGTTTTCACAAATGTTCAATTTCTTCACGTTTCCCAAAGCAGTACTTAATAAGTGAGTTAGCGAGTGCATGTAAACTGCAAAATTTGCCAATTTTCTACCTGTTTGGTATCATTACAATGTGGCTAGAATGTGCAAATGAACCATGTTTAACTTCTCTTCATGTTGCCTGTACCCACAACTCCCCACTCATTGGCTGGTGACAGAATCTGAACCGGTTCTAACTACAGATTGTACTCAGATGGCAAACTCTGTGGATGACAAGTAACACGGAAGTAACAAAAACTGCAGTTCCTCTAACGGCCACTTGAAGCTGGCTCCGGAAGTGAGTCAATCTCTATAAGGCTCCATGTTAAAATGGCCAACTTTACAGCAGAAATAAACATGAGGAAGAGGAGGATGATGACAACAGAAACGGGCAGCTCAATAAAGCAAATAAATTGTTGAATTAATTTTAGTTTTATTCTAATCTTTAGTTCAAATCTAATTTAAACATTATGACTCATTTCATCACATCACATTGCCATTTAACAAACAACATCTGTGTTCATGATAAAAGTGCACACTCAATGAAAACCATTAATATGGCAACGTAGTGCTGCCATGCCTGAAAAAGAAAAAAAAGGATCAATAAAATTCATATTATTACAACATGAAAACATATCACATTATAAGAAGAACATGTCACATTATAACAACATAAAAAGTATGTTATAACAAGAAAAGTTTCTTGTTAGATGTTTTCACGTTATAACGTGAAACGTTTTGTAATAGCAGTAAGTTGCTAGTAAAATGTGTCGCGTATAACAAGATAAATAGTATTTTGGTATGACAAACATTTCTTTTGTTTGTTTTTCTTTCTCTGGTGTGGCAACAATATGCTGCCATAGATAAAGAGGCAGAGAGAGACGAAAAACAAGGAGAGAAAAGAGGGCATAACACACAGCAAGGGTTGATGGCATTGATTGATGTGGCATGCGCAGTAACCATTTGGCTACAATTGTTTACCTTTGAAATTGCTGTCTCTGCAGCCTCTGCTGGTTGCTTCACCTGCTTTACACTTTCACAGGAACGCTCAGTGATTTCTGTTTCTGTTACTCCTCATGAGAGCTTCTGTTACAGTTCCACATCCTTCTTCAGGGATGATGTTGTTGTGACCTGCAGTTCTGTGAGGTATTTGATCACTGCATGGTCGCTGATGTGTTTTTTTTCTATAACCACAACCATCATTTAAATTGGAGACACATCAAGGCATTCTGAATGATGTATACACCTCCTACTGAGGGACTTCTTCACCACACTGCATTTCAGCTTTTACATTTTGCATAATTGCATAATTAGGATTTGTCAGCTGTATATAGATATTGAAACTTATTTAACCCTGATGCTGTAATGTTACTGAATGCAGAAGATATCAGTGTAGTTGAACACTTTGTGAAGACATGAGGTGATATTTCCATATGGGTGTAGCCTTTGGTTGTGCTTAGACAGACAGGAGGCTGGAACGGAGATGTGAAGGCCTCAGGATGGAAGCTGAACGGAGATATTAAAAGAGGAAATGGTTGATGTTATTGTAATATTTTCCTATTTTGGCTTTTCCTTACAGCTTTGAGCTGACCTACTTTTTACAGAAAAAGAAGTGCCTGTACCTTTTTTTTTATGTTTCATGAGCCCACTAAGTTGTGGATCTGCTTTCCTGTGAGTTTTAACCTCCCAAAATGTGAAACTTTTTGATTTGTATTTTTTTAATGTTGCCCCCTCATAACACCCCCGCCCCCTTACTGGGCCCTTTGATGTGATGAAATCTAAGTGACTGAGAATGTTTTCCTTTTCATACAAAAACTAGTGAATGTTACAGTGTTACGTTATGTAATCATACATTAAATGCGGTCAGAATAATCATTAACACGCTGCTTTTTCATCCAAACACATCCAGCATGTTTTTAAACCTCTCAACAAATACTGAAACCTCTCTGTGCATGAGCTGTTTCAGTAGTTTTCAGTTAATACTAATCAAGCACTGGTTCATATTGGAGACCAGCATTTTATTTTTGTATTATTTTATGATCAATATATACAACATATTTTTGGTTGACATTGCTTGAGTATTATGAGGTGTGTGCTGCTTTGAGAAAGTTAAACATATCTAAATAATATATAGATTTGTATATATTTAGGAAAAAAGGTTATACTGTATGTTGAGACTGTTTAAAGACATGTTTTGGTTTGTTTAGCTGATTGTGAAAAGATGCATCTGCAGTCTGATCTCAGCAGGTTGCAGCTCATGTTCCTGGCTCATTCAGCAAAGGTCATCTACTTTTGCTTTCTTGTTATTTAGGGATGGGAATCGAGGACTGGTTCCAGTTGAGAATCGGTTGCTAATTGTCAATTAATTTTATTGATGTCAAGATGTTTTTCTGACCGTGCACTGCAGAACAGTAATGTTGTCGTGCTCAAAACTGGTGGAAATGCAGGCTCATTTGCTACAGAGCACCAAGGTTTCAAGAATCTTGAACGGAACCAGTACAAGAACCAGAGCTAATTTAATGGAAAAACTAACAGAGAATTGATCAGGAATCAATAATAGGCCTTTTCCACCAACAGGGAACAGGCTCCGTTCTGGTTTTTGCACCTAGTTTTGAGCTGTTGGGAGTATTACGACCAAAAATACATTGGTTCAGAACCTAAAAGTTGGTTCCCAGCTGGAACCAAAAAATAGCAGGTTTTCCTTTGGAAAGTGGGTGTGTCATATTTTGCAAGTTGTTGCATTGATAGATAGATAGAAATAGCAGCGCTCTCAGTTGATTATGCATCCGATTACTGTGGTTCTACTCAAAACTGGTGGAAATGTGGGCTATATAGCACCAAGGTTCCAATAATCTTGAATGGAACCGGAGCTAATCTGGTGAAAAAAACACTATAAGGGAACCGATAAAGAATCAGCAGAATTGATAATGGCATCAAGTCATCAATTCCCATCCCTATATGTTATTACAGAAACATGTGTCCTCTTTTTCCCTCTTTAGAATATGTTGTTATTGTTGCACATTATGTAGACTACATTTTGCATGTATGACTGTGGCCTGAAATAAATTAGCTGCTTGTTTGACCCTACATATGTGCTGATTCGTGCTCATAGATGCAGCCTAGCAGCCCGGTATGGACGTCTGTCTTTGCTCCTCCTCGTAAAATGTGTTAGCTGATGTTGGCTGGGTCTTCAGAATTATTCATAGCTGGCGAACATAACAAAAGGGCTTCGCATTTCATTTCCATGTGCTGAATGTCACAAAGGCATACATACACATACGTCTGTCCGTTGAATGGATCTGACAGAGCCTTCTCTAGACTGTAGCTGGGGTATGATATCACATTGGAGCCGGTAGTGTTATGCTGTATCAGCAATATTGATTTGTTTGGAAATGCCACACTGCCTCACTGTTACTGCAACAGAATAAACAATATGTCAATGTGATGTATGTATTTCAAATAACACTTCAGAACTGTGGAACTGAAACAGGTCAGTTGGTGTTTATTTACATATCTACTCCTCTGTTCTCTCTAAAGCCCATGTTGAGATTAAGATGTTGAGATTAAGATGAAGAGCTTTCATCTGTAGCAATGACATCAAACTGCAATCTACTTGTTGTGGATAGTGACTTGTGTGTTAGTAAACTCTTTGTACTACAGGAAATGTGTTCCATATTTGTATTTCATTTGTTTTATTAAAGGTTTTAAGATGCCCTCTATGCAAAGAAGTGCAGTGTTTCCCAACTTTGTAATTTGTTACACATATGCTGCTCAACCACAGCACATTGGAGCTTTCATTGACATGGTTCTACCACATGGGGGCACACAATGCAAACCAATACACACAAAGCAGCAGCATGGCAGTGCTGTGTCAGACACTGCTTTGACTTGTAACAGTAGGAAGGCACAGGAAAAAATAATGAAATCAAAAAGAGGCACATCCCTCCATGAATAGACCAAGTCACAGATAATAACATGACAAACAGTATAAACTATATATACAAGTCTGTTTTATAAGAGGAGATTCAGTCTTTCAGTGGCCACAGTAATAAGAGTGTCTTTGTCTTTGTTATGAGCGTCCTGAAGAGAGGAGGGCAAACTCCTCATGCAGTGGTTGATCAAAACATCACTTTCATCAGTTACATCAGTTACATCACTTGACCCCTTCCTAACAACTCTTTTACTGTAAATATCCTTAAGCTAGGCTTGCTGCACACAGATCATTCAGCCAGGCTTTTTTTTTATTTACCAGACGAAGGCAACCAAACCCAGCCACAATGCAGTCAACAGTACCGATTCAATAAAATTAAGTCATAGTCATTGAAGAAATAATCTCATCCTTAAATCGAAGGTCCATTGTGTAACATTTAGGAGGATCTATTGGCAGAAATGGAATATAATATTCATAGTTGGCACCTTG